TGTACTGATGAAAAGTCTAGGAATCACCAGAGTGTGTAGATTTTTTTAGGGGAAACCATGAATGTCTGTAACACTTTCACATGAAGGATGTGAGTAAACAATGAGATTTTCACTCAGTGAATTAGGACAAGAATTCATCTTTCAGACAAAATTTGAAAGCAATCCATCCAATAGCTGACTTCAGTGGGACTCAGGAATTGCAACCCACTAGCCCACCTAATAAAGACAGTAACTGTAGTTTCTATACCTCTTCCTTCTCTCCTTTTCCAGAAAAATCACAGTCCACTTGATGAGGTCACAGCACTGGTGCTCTGAAACAAGAGCAAAAGTAAAAACATGAACCACCACAGCATTTCAAAACCAACCACCAAGCTACTGTTAAAGGATCACATGAATGAGAAAACTGTTCTTACCGTTGTCCCAAACTGAATTGAACTTCTGGAGGTTTGTGACTTTAGTCTCATTTCTGACAGCACCTGAAAAGTTAATGCTCAGAATTTAGTGCACTGCTGTAACACTTGGGAAAGTATATTTCTAAGATGCGGTGAAGTTCAAAGGTGGAAACTGTTAACAGAGTTGTGGTAAAACCAACAGGTTGACAATCCACTAGTAGGACTGCCCTACAGCACAACCCAAATCCTTTGCAAAACTAGATTTTTTTCTGTTGTTAGCCTGGAAGTTGTGGTTCCTTGTCGTGAATTGGATTTTTAACATGGTAACATGCACATATCAGAAGGACATTAAAAGACTGGCTGACATGAGAAATGTAGGAATTAATTAATCAAAATGTGGAAACGTGTTTATCAAAACACAAGAATGAATAAGTCAAAACATAAATACAAACATAGAAAATAATTACTACAAATGTGAGGATTAAATACTCTGAATTTACAAACAAACTAATCAGAACATAGGAATGATCTGCATCTGGGCATGCAATAGCTTTTGGTGCACTCAGTGTACTAAGTCCCCAAGGCTCACGGGCTCTGTATCCAGTTCACTGATTAATCCAAAAACATGGATGTAATTACTTTGTAATATGAACACTATAATTCTGCTATAATCATTTATAATAACCATTATCTAGACATGATCAAAGATGTGAGTTCTACTTCAGAGAGAATTTTCTCCTAATTAAAGCTAGAGTGCATGACTTTTAAAACAATGTAAATGAACGTTCGATACTTTGAAGCCTGTGTCAAGTAAGTTCACACAACAGTAATTAATTCCTTTACTGCCAGGTACATTTCTCCTTATTTTGCAGTTTAAAATCTTGTTTCATTGTCAGTAGCCTACAGCAACTTGGAGGCATTAAAGAAAAGATTCTGATGCTCTGGATTAAAAAGAAACTTGGCGAAAAGATTACAGTCTAAAAAAGAAACTTAAGCAGCATAAAATTTTGAATATTAAAACATACGTACCTTTTTGTCCAAAAGTGTTCCAAACACAAATATGAAGAAACCCTTTAAAAAAACGCACAGAGTAGCATCAGCTAAGAAGGATTCAGTAAAGAAAGGCTAGCAAACCATCACGAATGCATTCAACATGTGTAAATGCTATAATATATATTATACATATTAATATGTATATGTATATGTGAATTAAATTTGTACCTGCAGTGAGTTGAAGAATGCGAATGAAATATGGATTCCTCTGTCGTCTGGGCTGACCAGAGTTCCAACTCCCAGACTCCAAGTTAATCCAAAAAATGGTGTGAGCACAGCCAAACTCCTGGCAATAACCACGAGAACATGTCTCTCACCAGCTTGGCCAGCAGACCTCGCAACCGTTCTGGTCAACATTTTGTGCATCACCACAAACAGGATCACAAAGTTTATTGCCACTATTAGCAGTGCTGGGATCACAAATGCCAGCAGAGCCCTGGATGGGTCCCAGTTGAGCCAGCAGACCCCAGTTTCTCGAATGTATGTTCCTTGGGGTGCAGTCACAGCTATGGTTATGGTTGCAATGATGAGAGGTGCCCCATAGCCTAAACAGAATCCAATAGCCAACATGGATGTTTTAGACAAACCTCCATCAAATACACTGACTGCACGGTAGAGCAACAGCAAGGCTGATGCTAACATCCAGAAGAACAGGGCTAGGTAGAAAAAATGGATAAAAAAGGTAGCTGCAGAGCATGCTGGTGGGTTTTTCTTCTCTGCGTCAGAAATGGCTGCCCCAATGATAAACCAAATGTTTGCAATCAGTAGGGACACTGCGATGTTAATGATGGAAACATGACGCAAGTAAGATGTGTTGTTCTTTCGTATTTTTCTCCAAATGACCGCTTCAATGATGAGACATATAACCAAGGACGCCATGGATATTCCAACTCCAACGTAGGTTATAATGTCCAACACTTCATCATCTGGACTGTTGGGCGACATAAGGATGGAGAATGAGGTAAGGTGGTTGCAGTTGCAGGTGACGGTTTCGTTGTCATCAGATACCAAAGTGCAGCCTTCATCGTCCCACCCTCCAAGACCATCGAAGAGGCTGAAGTTCCAGAAAACACATTGTGGATTTCCCAGACTATTGTTTGTAATATCAAACGTGAAAGAAATATTACTGATGCTGCTATTGGACTGAACAAGTACAACTCTGCCATTGATAACGTTAACAGATGAATTGGCTTCATCTCTTGCAGGAAGTACGTTATGCTTTGAGGCAAATGTTAACACAGTGATTGCCTGGTTCCCTCCTTCACGCCCTGTTATGTTTATCTCCACTGAAGAATTAAAGTCAGAATTGAGATTGTCTTCAAATGTGGTTTTGTTCAACAGAATAGAAGGTGTCTCAATGTTGAACGTGTCACTGGTAAGTTGCCTTGTTATAGTCTCAAGAGACTGCAGTAATGATGAGCTGACACTTTTAGCTGAGGTGCTGTTACTTCTCGTTGCTGGGCTGTTTCTAGTGTTGTTGTTGTTGTTCAAAAAGTCCCATGATTCCTTTGCCTCATCTATGGTGAGAAGACCCGCAGTCAGCAGGACATCCTAAATGTATAGAAATGAAAATATTAGGTCTAAGAACATGGACACTTTAGAATGTGTAAAGTCCAGCAGACTAATTCACATACCTCCATTGAAGTCATACTCATTGTGATATTTATTGCTGAAGATGTGTTGGCTATATTGTTGAGTATGTCAACAATGGCATAAATGGTGGCAGGAGATTGAGCAACGTCTGTAGTGAAGTTGACAGTGACGTTGCTGAGGTGATCCAAGAATAGTGCCAGTGAATTGTCATTGACAAACTGTATTGAAAAAGTAAAAAACAAAACAACAACAACTCTGTAATGTATTATCTTAGGGATCAAATTCAAATTACTTGCAGACAATAATAATAAAAATACGATCCTGGTTAAACTTTCTTTGGTTCCTGAATTCACCCCAATTACAAACAGAGACAGACACTTTCCTGTTATTGTTCGATTTTGGCTAATCCTCCTGCACTCGTGGAAAATCAAATAATCAAAGCTGTTGCGACTACCAGTGCAAAGCCACCTAAATGGCTTGTAAATTATACAAAGCAAAAGAAAACCAAAAAAAACAAAGAAAAAAAAGGGAAGATTTTGAAAATATCACAGGCAAAAAGCCCAGTGATTAGCTTCCCCCATGGGATATATTTTTTAGGCCAAAAAAATAACCTAAAAAGAGGTTCAGATGTCTAGTTTCCTCTCATATCACCTGAATTACTTGAATTAATATGGAAATTTTGCCCAACAATGCCACAAAATACTGCCTACTCAGCTTTAAGCAAACCAGCATTTTCAATAATACGAAGGGCAAGAATGAAGATTCATTTTGCCCTTGTTGATACTATCATTGAGTGTCTGATAGAGCTGGAGAAATAGGTCACCTGACACTGTTCATGCAGGTCCTGAATGGGTTGAAGGACGCAGTTGTCTTGTTGATCTTCAAATTTTTCATTTGCCGTACAAACTGCTGTCCTTTCTCCCACCTTGCCGGGTTCGCACTTTGCTACAGCCCTGAAACCAACCGTTCCAACACCAAATTCTGGATGAGAGCAAACAAATCCTAGAGAGACAGAAGAAGGTTTTGACATCAGTACTGACAGTAACTACAGTGAAACATATCTTGAGTAATTGTAATAACTGCTCTGTAAAGTTTGGATGAGCACTCACTTCCTGCAGATAACTCCAGTATTATTTCGCTTTCAAATACTGGACTGGTTTTTGTTCGACAGGTGAACGACCGTTCCCCTTCCTGGTTTGTACAGTCATCAGGAACTGGAAACTGAGCTGTGATCATATTACCTGTACCTGGACAGCAAAACCCAACTTAGAGAGTAGGACAATATAAACATTCACAACTAAAAACTAAAATATATATTATCACAAATGGTTTTGATAGAAGTGCTTCAATGTGTCATTGATTTGCTCATGGCTAATTAGCCCCTTGGTGCTGGTTTGTTTCAGGTTTACCTGCAGAGGGAAAGTCCGGAAACTCCACCTCGTAGGGACTGTTGACAGAGCACTGCAGTGTTACATTTCCACCCCCACACTCCACATTTTGTCTGACTGGTGTCAGTTGGATCTGTGGTGTCTCTCTGAGATTAAAGTCTCCGTTGGATCTCTGTCGAAAAATTGAACCATCTGGCCGTTCCAGCCTACATTCATAGAGTCCTGTAATTAAAGGTGATCATCATTATTATGTGAAACACTATATTGGATGACAGCTTTCCAGTGCCCCTCAGTTTTCGCATCTCTGTCTGACTCTGTCATTGTCTCATTGTCTGTCCAATTCAGCTCACATTTATAAAGTCCTAAAATTAAAAGTGATGAGCAATTTAAAGTAAAGCAGATATCAAGTTAGTGGTGCAAAACAAATCTAAAAATATATAGCGGCAAAGGGGCAAATAAACTAAATTACCATTTACACAGTTATAGTGGAAGAAACATTCTTCTAAGATTTCCTACAATTTTTTTCAGCTTTTGGGTTGAAAAGACATGAACTTAAACTTAAAATAAACAACTGCTACTAGATGTTCAACAGTTGTGGTTACAGTCAAACTTTTAGTCTGTATTACTGGTTTCATGCTTGTGTCCCTTATTTTTTACAGTTGTCGTGGAAAAGTGAGCGACATGTATACATTTTGTATGTTTCAATTATATCTTATTTTGAATGACCATAATTTTCACATGCATTCATTTACTAATAATAAGTCAGAATGATCGTGATAATACCTCCTGACATTGTTAGCTGTTATGTGTCTTTTCTTACAGATGTTGAACTTCCACTTGCTCGACTGAAGGAACAAACCCGTCATTATAAAACTGCCCAGAAAACAAAGACAGCAAACTGCAACAACAAGAATGAATTTGTGAAGCGTGTGAGTACTGTGTGAAGTGCAGTGAATTGCGCAATTGTATAGAGAAAAAGAGACACTAAGACAAAGAGGAAAAGAGATGGAGAAACAGTAACTGGTTTATTGGTGTTCAGTTTTAGAGATATCTGTGTATCTCAATGGGTGAATGTGATGTGTGTGTATATATGTGGGGGAGTGTATATGTGTGGGCGATTGAAGCCGTAAAAAGAGAGGAAGAAAAAAGGAGCTTACGAGTCATTTGTTGTGTTGTTGTGTGCTGTGTAAACCTGAAATAGGGTGTACCGTAGATAGCGTTACACAAGGTGGAAAGAAATTTATAATAATTTACACTCTCACACGTTAGTTTTGAGAACCTACCATCTGTGGACCTGCATATAGAGTTACACACCTCTGCATAGGGATCCCTCACGCCCTCATAGAGACAATGGAGGGCTGGGGAGGGGGACAACTCAGGGTTCATTTAGACTATAGAGCCCCCTCCTTTGAGTATTTAAAAAAGGAGAGCTGGAGATGGAATTAGAAATATTGAATCGTAATTGAGTTTTGAATCTCAATTTTGTTGAAGTTTGATTTTATTCGCTTTGGGGATATGCCTTAATGAAAAATCTCAAAGTAATCTGTAAATCCGAAAGCAGTAACAAAACTGCATTTTAGTAATTCTACAAATCTTTTATCTATCTCAATAACCTTGCCAAGGAGTCAGGAGATGGTTTAGACTGGCAGCCAGAAGTGAAGGAATTTGAATGAAGTGATGATTCAATTTCAGTGATCAAGTCTAAGTCTTGTGAGCACTGAAGGCAGCTAGGAAAAAAGAAGTGTTTTGTTTTGTTTTGTTCAATAAAGTTTTACACTATATGCCATACTATAATAAACTATGTTCATATTATCCAGGTGTGGTGAATTAAAAAAACACAAAAGCTAAAACATTATGGCCAGCAGTTTTCTCATCCTTACCGTTCACAGTTTGGGTCATTGTGTACCATGGTCAGTTGCATTGTTTGCATTGGTGGTTCTGACTACATAGTAAATGCAGGTACAGTATTGGCTCTGCACTGTAAGACACATACTGTCCTCAAGCCAATCAGAACTGTGTGTTTGCACAGTCCGTGGTCTACTGACTACACATCACTTGTATTTCTTACCATTATCAGTCCTAAAAAATCTGGACATAGTTAAAGTTGCTGCTCCATTCTGAATGAAAAAGTTGTGCTCTCTGCTTTCACTGATGAGCTCGTCGTTACGTCTCCACTCTGCAGTCCAGCTGGTACCAAAATTGAGATGTCCTGGTGGAGGGCCGCATGTCACAGTCACACTCCGACCAAAAAATACTTCAGTTGGATTAAACTGTAAGGGTGTCTCACCTTTAAAGATAAAATGGACACAAAGGTCAGACAGTTATACAATCTGCTTGACACAAAGATCAGATATTTTGGACATGACAAACATAAATGTTAGGATTTAAAAAAAGAAATAGATCACAACTGTGTAAGACTGCCTTACTGTCATATATCATTGAGTATTTTTGTGCCAGATTTGTAAATAATCCAACTTTTAGCGCTTCAGTTTGTGTCTCTGGAAAAGAAGTGGCAATGACAGTATAGGTAGCGATAGTGCTTCCACTCCTGCAAGACAGAATTAAATCCCAATGAAAATCCAACCAGCAGCTAGTGCAATGTTGTTCCCTTAGTATATCTGTTCTGCGAAACTGATGTTAACCACCATTTATCCTCTACAGAAAGGCTCTTTTACATCATCATCAATGAATGTCTGTACTGTAAGTAAGTGACATGTAATGAGATTTATATAAAATGTTTTGTTTTTTTTTGTTTAGTTTTTGCACAATACTCTCTTTTTAAATCCTGAATCCATCCAACAGTAACTTAGCTATTTCAGCCTTGACTGAAGCGATGGAAGGACTGAATTTCCTAAACAGCTAAAAAATAAGGTGAAAAAAAATTTCTATTTCCCATGTACTGTAAAAATGAAAAGCTTAAAACAATATACTGAAGTGTCATCATTCTTTATATAACAATAAAATGTACTCATACCGACACTGTGCTCACATCGTTTGCTGCTACAAACCTAAGAAAAGTAACGTCAAAGGAATAAAACTTGATTTACCTGAAACCAATTAATTGTGCTGAAACTGGAGCTGGGAAGTGTGTCCTAATTTGGTTTTGAATCTGTTTGAGACAGTGACATAGACACAACAAGATTAAATATTAGTTGGAGTTGGTGCATCAGAAATGTAATACAGCTGAATGACAAAGAGTGCAGGTATATCATTACTTACAGTGTTATTGATGTCTTGGTAGACTGCATGGCTTGGCTCATTGAATGAAGGATCATATTCCATATTCATAGAAAATGAGAAGGTCCTCGCTGGAACAGAGACAATGATCATCATAAAGAAGCTGTTTCATACGACCAGGAAACAGTAGTAGAAAAACAAGCTGGTTTCCATCAGTACATGTTTTCTTTTTTGTTCAATAACTTAACTGTGTCAATGGAAAACACCAAGCGTCATATACAAGGAGATGGTGTTGAACTTGGAGTGACACCAAACAAGCAATATTTTATTTTCTGCCCAGATAAACACCATACCTTTAATTATTTGAATATATGTTTAGGAGAAAACTAAATACAACCCTAATTATGTTTATATCATATATGGGACAGTCAGTGAAACACAGTAGTGCTTATTTGTGATCAGAAATAAGTAAATTCATGCACCCATAGGTTTGTGTTGTAGTTTTACTGCATGTCCTGTAGGTGTCACACTTGTTGCACAACCAAGCAAATTGTTTCTCACATTGACACTTTAGTCCTCCAGTGGTGTTTGAATAACACCCTTTTAAAAGTTGACAGTTCACAGACTATATGCTATTAAAAAATAAGTAACAAATCTAATTAGGTATGACTAACAAATAAGTGAATGTGATAGAACTCAGATCTGTACTTAAAGTCCGCTGTGCACAACGTGAGCAGGAATGGAGCCATTACAGTCCCTTGAGGAGCCGCACTGATGCCCATCACTGTCCCAGAGACACAGTTTCCCAGTTTAATGATCTGTGGTCAGCCTGTCATCCTTTAATCCAGGAAGTGAGGCAGGAATCGACCCGTGTCCCTTCAAGCTTGTTTCAAAGTGTGAGGGGTTGAATAGAGGTGAATACGCTTAAAAAGTCGAAGAACGTAATGATCACATATCCTCTCGGTTCACCCAGAGGAGCATGTACAGAGCTGCATCTTTACTGCATTTTCCTGGTATGCGAACTGCAAGGGGTCAAGTGAATGTGCAGCCTGTGGTCCAAGAGAGCGGCGAAGAAATGTCCAGTGTCTTCATGATGTGTGATGGAATAACATCAGTTTATAGTCATTTTTCTCGATTCAACCTGCTTTGGGCACCGGCACATGACATGATGTTTTCAGCAGAAACAGCACCTTAACCACGGCTCAAGTTGAACATCCTCTGGAGTGGCTCAGCGAGTTGAGCAGCCCAGTCCTTCAGTAGCCTCAGACACATACCATCCAGACCAGACCAGGCAGAAAAGTTGTTTTTCTTTTATATTTTTTACTTTGGCCCTTTGTTTGTTCCCTTTCTTTTATGGTTGCCTTCACTAGTTTCACCTGTGTCTCATTTCCCCGCTAGTTATTTGCATATAAATTGTCTGGTCTTTTCCACTTTTCTTGCCAGTTTGTCCTGTTTGCAACTCTGTTCAGGATTACCTGTCGTTTTCCACCTGCTCGCTGCGGCGTCATAGCCAGTGTTTTCTAAATAAACCAGATGGAGACATTCTTTAAAAAATGTCTCTCATTATCCACGACAACTAAAGAGTCTATTTTACTTTAGACATTCAAAGAAAAAGTATTTTTCTCCTCTAAGCAACTTTATGGTAGATGAAGAGGTCCTACTGTCATCTTATCAGATCTTTTTTGCTTATCTTTGTAGTAATTGATGCTGGTAGTAAAACTATTATCTGATTATACTTCATGCAAAGCAACACGAGGAAGCATTTAAGTGGTTTTTGGGGGGTTTTTTTTGCCAGAAGTGCTTCCTTCTTCTATGATTTTAAGAGGGTTTACTGTTTTACCAGTATGACAGAACAGCAACAAAAAGAGCATTTATGTTGTAGGTCTGATCCATAAATAACACAATGTAGCCACAAACGTTCCTGATTTAAAACCATCACAGACAAATCTACAATCAACAGTTATGTCCTTCAGCTGACTGACTGCAGTGGGACATAGAATTGTCACATGGTTTGGGCCCATTGCAGGAAAATTACAAAAAAACGAATGATCACCAGTGATGATCAAATAAAAACGATTCTGCACTGTAGAAGTGCTTGAGATAAAATAAAGGTTCAGCACTTGTTGCTAATAATTTTTATGCTTTTACTAGAATTTTCAAATCGTTATAGAACAAATGGATTAATGTGAGAGAGGCAATTTAATATTTTTATTTCTGTTTATGCTCGAGTGCAGCAGCTCAGCTACAACTCTGCTGAAACACTATCAAACTATTTTACATTACACAATGGCAAGCTTTCATATTGTAGTAATAATAAGTACGTGTAGTAACGAGTAATTCAGACACAAATGTTTGGACTAATACTGATTCTGAAGTAGAATAATGTTAGCTCCACCCTGCAGGTTGACAGAAATAGTTTATTAGATTAATTAAGTATGAACAACTGGAAGTCTAAATCCCTGTTTTTCAGATTGATGGAAATATTGTTATTCATCTTATGGACATGTAAATAAGGTCAAACAAAACCCTCAGTTTGGCCCGAGGAAGAATCTAATCATCTTCTCCTGCTACTACAAGTTGTAAAGCATTTGTGCCCAAGCTGAATCCAAGCAGCAGCTTTTTAAAAATCAAACAAACGTACATTTTTTCCCCCCGAAATCCATCCTTCTCATAAACTAAGTATTGCACAATTCATAGGTCAGCCTGTCTTTATTTAAAATATAATTTATATACTGTGCTAAGGAGGCTAATTCCCCTGAGAGATATGATTTTGGGATATTTAGGATGTCACATAGCAGAAGGAACAGTTCTGTATTTAAAACAAAGTGTAAAACAAGCTGAGAAAAGATGTGTTTAATATGCCATCACTTTATTGTAGTGATGCATTAAAATGCAAAGCTGCATGTAAGCATCTAAAATACAGCGCTTGTGTAAATGTACTTACACTCGGTGGTGTTTGACTGGCAGTACTGGCCATCTGCTGGGAGCCCATTAATGCATCCACACGTGTCACCAACGATGGCATCACAGGCCTCGTGGTTAATGCAGCTGTCAAGCGACCAAGCAAAGCTCTCCTCACACGTGCATTGGTATCCAGTCGTATGTACGGAACACACTATGGGACAAAACAGAGGGACACAACACCAAGGATGAATGACAGCGTAAAGCTACAGGTATGTGACAAATTAAAGGAACATCCCCAACAGTGAGGAAATCTGGTGGCTCTGTTATGATGTGAAGGGAATTTTGCAGACATGATTTGGATCTTCTTGTCCTTAGTAGGAAGGGTAACTGCAAATCAATACAAGGTTGTTCTGAGGGATCACCTTCATTCTATAATGACAGATTTGTTCTGCAGTAGTTGTTCTACAGACCATGCAACCATATAGAGGGCACGAGGGGTCACTGAATGATCTCATGAGTTTGTCAGGATGTGAATCACTTGCTACAGCTTTTACCATCACCAGATCTCAGCTAAATGGAACACCATAGACAGCACTTTTCCACTGCCTTCAAAAGATTGAAAAATCTTTTGTTAAAATGATATCCATCCTTCCAGTAGGGCTCTGGAGACCTGGGGAGTCAATGCTAAGGCAGAGGGAAGCTGCTCTTGTGGCACCTTTATGTTGGTTTAATAATGGTTTTACACACACAAAAAAAAAAAAATTATTAAAAAAAAATGGAGCAACAAAGTGAAAGTATATTGTACCTGTTGTGGTGCCCATGCTGTCGACTTTAATTGAGTTGCTGAACAGTAAAGGAAATGTGAGTGTGTTCAGAAGTGCTTGGAGACTCTCCAGGTCTGAAATCCCCACAGTCGCCTGGATCTCATAATCAGTAGATTTTAAAGAAGCTGTAGATAAAACACACATTATTGTTGATCTGATTTATACTTCAGTCTGAGGAGTAGGACAAATTCAGACAGCAATAGTTAAATACTTCCTGTTAATGTTAATATAATGTCACTCACTTTCTCGTTTTTCTCTGACATGAATGGAGGATGTTTTTGAACTTGATGCTTCCTGAAAGAATCATTAAATGAAGTTGAACTGCACAGTTTGTCTACATAGAACAATAACAGTAACTAAATACCAGTTATAAACTAGAAAATTACACAACTGATCAGGTATTTCATACAGCCACACACAGCAGTTTCAGCATCTCATGGTGTAGTACTTCAGCCTCTGCTGTTGTTAACTATTAGCGCTTATTCTTACCTGAGAAAAGACATTCAGACTCTGTGCGTGTCCCTGATGATCCAGACTGGTGCATATAACCAGAAGAACAATCACATGTCCTATTGTCTTTGATAATGTCATCCTGACTAGAGAGAAAATACAAAACACAATGTTTTCTCTTTATTAAATCATTATTAGAGCAATTGAGAGACTTGTATACATTTACATATTGTACTTTAAGGTGTTATCTTGTCGTGACTCGGCCTGCATGATTCGGGCCAGCGATGATCAGGCAGCATCGTCAAAACATATAACTGAAACAACGATCCTTAGCTAGGTACTTCAGGTCCCAAAAAAGTTCTACGAGAAGGAAAAAATCTCCAAATAGTCGTCAGAGTCTGATGTGAAGAATGTTTATTCGAAACAGAGGCTGCACGAACAAACATGAGCAAAATATCTAGATTAGGCTGGCTGACAATGCACTACATGTCCTTATGTACTTGCGAACTTCGTCCAACTCCCCTCCTATCATGAAAAAACCCAACCTGATTACTTTGATACCCATCAGAAAGTCAGCTCTATTTCCTGCTTAGCACAGCGTAATCTAAGACTCTGCTGGGTTCCTGCTTGCCCCCCTCAGTGGTGGGCTTCTTTCGACTTTCTGGACACCATCTTTACTGGGTCATTTCCAGGTCATGGTGTCCTTAACTGAACTCGCAGCGCGGGGGAGAGCGCATGCGTGTCCGTCCTGCTGTATTCTGGCCTGCTAGCAGGTCTCAGGCTTCTGTAGATTTTCATTAGGTTGGGTTTTTTCCACAGGTTTGTCCAGTCTATTCATATCCTTTGTTTTTGTTTACACATGATATTATTTACATATTTTGTACATGATATATTTTATTATTTAGTCTTATTTCCACATTTACTTCATCTTCCCAATCGCATCTTTAGGTTTGTCTTTTATGTAACTCTAAAATCAATTTTGTCTTTTGTTCAATCCAAAATATCCCACAACAATCTAAGGTGGTGCAGCATCACAATCTTTGTTTTAAATGCTACCAGGAAGCTAACAGGTAAAAAATACGCTGCCTTCCCATTACTACTTCCCGTACCGGTATGAAAATGTAGTTCACTGGCATGTTGCCATTTCCGTCTATAGTTTTCTGTTCACCATGAAAAAATATTTACAAAACTCTCCCTTAACAGGAATAGTTTGACATTTTTGAAAACATTCATTGTTGTTTTTTCTTTTCTTTTTTTTATCCTAAGTCACACCAGAGTCTGATAAATGTTAGGCTTCTATACAGCGACTTTGTTCAGAATAAGGTTTAGAAACTGTACAAACTGAAGCATATGTTGCTGTTAACTGCACTTGGAAACTTCAAATAATAAGAGACAGAGTGAAAAAGAAGACAAAGAGAAGTTTGAATTGTTTTATTCCAGGGGAGATGATTTTTGTTGTTTCCATTACCTTCTTTTATTTGTAAAACTCTCTGTTATTTATTGACTTAATCGTAATCCCATAGGCATCCTAAGTGAATAAACTAAGAGGGTTTTGGTGCCACAGTCTCTGTCTTTTATAATCTTTGTTGTGGATAATACCTCAATAAAAACAGGATTTGAAAGTTTTTAAATGTAAATTCTTGTTCAGCTGAAGCCTGGGCTAAACAATAGATATTTCTGTGTGTAGACTTTTATCATGTGCATCAAAATGTAGACATTTTAACCCATTTTAGTTTTAACCAAGTGAAAACAACAGCTGGTTACTTCTACAGCTTCTGGGAGATTTTGATAACAAACATCTTGTCAAAATTCACAGAATAATGTTTTAGTTCTGGGTTGTTGTTTTTTTTTTCCAAGTGGATGTATTTTGGCTTCTCTTGTTTAATTTACTCAAAGAGGACACATATATACCAATTAGAAGAAGACGTTCCAGTGATTGCTTTATCTACAGTAAACACCCAACTGCTTTTCATCCATTTTATAAACGGTGGTAAATGTAATTTATTTTAATGTATGTATGTTTAGGTATAATACTGAACAACTACTTACATAAGATAGGAGAAAAAAAGATTTCTTTACCTCCTGCAGTCTTCTGGTGTTGGGAAAGCTTCTTGTCAGCAAAGTGTGATCACTTCACTGTACAGTTTTTAGACCGATAACGACACTTCGGAGCTCTTTTATCAACTTCATCTCCACCACACACACCTGCCTGGCAGGTTAAGTGATCTCACCTTTGACAGAAGTGCAGATACACTGATTCATTATCTACAGAGCAATGTGATGGGGGGCATTTGGACGCAGAATTATGCATCAGTTTCTTTATTTAACATCCAGACAGAGCTGACAGGTGGTCACTGCGTGGCAGAAGGGTATGTTAGGGTATGTTAGACTGTGCTGCTGATGACTCCGTTTGCAGGTAACTCATTTACACTAATTAGGCATGCAAGTCCACATTATCTGTGTACAAATAAAGAACCTGCAGTGCTGTTTGCTGCATATGTTCATGTCACATACTTCTCAAAACAACATCTCAAAGGTTTGAAAACTTTTTTTCTTTCAGTGTTATATGAAAGACGTTAGACTGGAATTTTCACACAAAGCTGATTTCAGTTAGATATCAAGCACACGGCCTTCCTGCTAACAGTTTAAGATTTAACTTTCAAGAGTTTTTATTAGTCACATCTTCATACAGTCTGTGCAGTGAAATTAAAGTGGAATGCTTACCATATGGAAGTCCCACTGCTCCTAAATTAGTAAGAATAATAAAAAAAAATATTATATCAACTTTATCTGTGTGGCACAATTTATACAGGAAGTACAATAAAATACAAATGTCCATAGAAGTAATAAATACAATGCCTATAAAAAGTCCCCCCCAACACCGCTTCTATGTTTTTCGCCTTTTATTGCTTTTCAACACTGGATTTGTCAGCTTCATTTGGCTTTTTTTTTTTTTTGCAACCAGAATTTACAATGAAAGACTCTGTCCTTTCAAAGTGAAAACTGATTTCTCAAAAGTAGTGTTGATTAATTAAAAACATGCAGAAGTATTCATACGTCATAAGTAAGCATTCTATAAGTATTCTCCTCCATTAGAGCGACTCACCTAATGTTACACAGGTAAAGCCAACAGATGCTACAAGTCACACCATTAGTGAAAAGGAGATCACCTGAATGCAGTTATTGTGTCTCAGGTGATTGTAGTGTAAAGACGCCTGTATCTGGATGGTCCGGTCAGGGTGGCGGCAGCATCATGATGTGTGGATGCTTCTTGGTAGGAGGCCCTGGAAGGCTGGTAAAGGAAGTGGGTAAAAAGACTAAAGCAAAAACAAGCCGGTTCAGTCGACAAGAGAACTGTGCCTTGGAAGAACATTTGTGTTTTTTAAAGTATTTTTTTTCACAGTTTTAAGTTTGAAACACTACCACTGATCCTTTTATTTGTTTTTACATGTAGAAACATTTAAAAGATGTAAAGGAATATTCCAGAGAATTGCTGCACACAGTTTGGAAAGATTTTAATTGCAATTACCGTTACATTGTCAAATGTTCTACAAATTCGAGACATAATTAAAGATAGAAAACAGAGTAAACGTTTAACATCCATGACTCATTACCAATAGAATGATGACATGTTAAAAACTACATGAAGACACTGTACATCACATTTTAGGTGCAAAAAACATACAACTTATGCATTCAGTGTATTCTCTGTGGAGTTTTAATAAAGTGCAACTTTGATCTGATGTGTGCCTATAATTTTGCTAACACAAAGAGGACATGCTGCTTAACACACTTAAAAAATCAAAACAAAAAAATAGGGACATTTCTGCCACTTCCTTTACCTCCTGGATTTATACTGAGGAGTGTCCAGGTCAAGCTGTCATTCTGACCACTGGTCTGTGTCAGACAGTCTCGTCCTGTTAAACTGATTTGATGCGGAAAGTCAACTAAAGCAAGAGCCAGTCTGTATATTTTTGTGGGATTTTCTAACTTTAACATAGTGCAATGAATACTAAATGACAAGACAGACAGTCTAAGTGAAAACTATATAAGTATATTTTATCACAGCCTGTGTAAACACACATAAATACAAATGTTACAAAGTGCAAAAATCTATTTACTTCAAGATCAGATATATATATATTATAAAATAATATACAATACATTTAATACTATACATCCAACAAACATGCAATACTTGTTTTGCTGGCATGTATTACATACTGCTGTTGTGTTCACATAAAATAACTTTCAAAAAATGACAGAATTAAAAAACTGTTCATTTTTGCAAACATCAAACCTGGCTCTTTGCTTGGTGAATTGTCATCCTGACTGGCCAGAGCTGCTTGTACAGATTATCAAGTGTTTGTTACAGAGTGATCAGTGGATGCACCAGATGACACGTTGTATCCGTCTGAAAAACCAACAACAAAGCAATTATAGTTCAGTCAGTCAGTGGCAAAACAATACAGCAGCAGATACAGTGCTAAACAAGAGACTGGAGTTTGGCAGAGCTTTGAGCTATTAATGTCCGTCCATCCATTATCTATACACCGCTTAATCCTCACTCGGGTCGTGGGGGGCTGGAGTCTATCCCAGCTGCCTCAGGGTGAAGGGAGGGGACACCCTGGACAGGTCACCAGTCTATCACAGGGCTACACTTAGAGACAGACAACCAAGCACACTCACATTCACACCTACAGACAATTTAGAATCACCAATTAACCTCAACATGTTTTTGGATCTTGTGGGAGGAAGCCGGAGAACCTGGAGAGAACCGACCTTCTAGCTGTGAGGCAACGGTGCTAACCACCGAGCCACCTTGCAGCCCCAGCTAATGATGTTTGAAACAATATTTTAAGTAAGTGAATTAGGACAAGAATTCATCTTTCAGATACTATAAGTGTCAAAATTTTACAGCAATCTACCCAATAGTTGACTTCAGTTAGAATCAAGAGTTGTAACCCACTAGCCCACCTCATAAAAACACTAATTGTGACTCTTTACCTCTTCCTCGATTTCTTCTCCAGAAAAAAAGTCCACTTGATGAGGCCCCACCACTGGTGCTCTGAAACAAGGCCAAAAGAAAAACCAAAAACATAAACCACCACAACCAACCAGTGAGCTGTTTGTAAAGGATCTGAGAAAACTCTTCTTACCCTTGTCCCACTTCCAGACGTTTGTGACTTTATTGCTATTTCTGACCGCACCTGAAAAATGAATGCTCATATATTAGTGCACGGCTACAACACCTTAGCAAGCATGTTTCTAAGACATGGTAAAGTTCAGAGGTGGGCACTGTTAGCCATGTTGTGGTACAACCAAAAGAAGACCCCTGCTAACTAAATTTGATGGTCGTACACTGCAAAAGAGGGAAGTTAATTAATATGTTTTTCCAGTAGAATTTCTCCAATGTGCAGCAGGTTTTGTTTCCTAATGTGTTGCAGTATAACCAACTGGACACCACTGATGTGTAAATATTTTTGAAGAATTAAGTAATATTCTTTAACTGCCTCTTTTCGGTGTTGCACTTTGTAATTCCTGTAAACTCTTCTCACATTTGTTTGCACCCAGAGACCAGTGCTGATTGGGCAAGATTTCTTATTTTGGTTCATGAAGACGATTCTTCTTTCACTCAGTAGGCTTCTTCGGTTCTAACTAACTGGTAGGGATGCTCTGGCTTTGTGGTATTTCTTTAAACCAATCACAACGATTTTGGGCAGTACTGAGTAAAGGATGCAGCTTTGATGTTCACTCAAAATATGGATGGGTTGAATTGTTGTGGTGGAACATCTGCATGCAGGAAGGTGGGCACTGTCATGAAAATGAACAATCCATAAAATAAAGACTAAATAATTAATATGTGGGTATAAATGAGTCAAAATGTAGAAATGAAGGGCTGCTCAAGGGCTCTGTAACCAGTTCACTAGTTAATAGAACATATAGGTTGGAATCCTGGTACATCACTTTGTAAAACAAACTCTAGATTTTTACTACAATAATTCATTAATACAATAATCATTAGGTAGACATGATTAGAGATGTGAGTTTTACTTCAGGGTGGATTTTACCTTAATTAAAGCTAGACTGCATGACTTTTACAGGACTGCAAATCAATGTTTTTATTACATTGAAGCCTGAGCCGAACTAGTTCATTTAATGGTGTCAGGGAATGGGGCTTTTTGGCCTGTGTTTAGTGTTGTCCTCAAGGCATCCACCAGAGGGCGTCCTGGAAGAACTCTGCTCTGCTGTGATCTATTCCCTGTAGGTGTGTTGTCCACACTAAAGAAATTCAAGCAGCATAAAATTTTGAATATTAAGACATACGTACCTTTTTGTCCAAAAGTGTTCCGAACACTAATATGAAGAAACCCTTTAAAAAGACACACAGAGTAACGTCAGCTAAGAAGGATTCAGTAAAGAAAGGCTAGCAAACCATCACGAATGCATTCAACATGTGTAAATGCTACAATATATTATACATATTAGTATATATATGTGAATTAAATTTGTACCTGCAGTGAGTTGAAGAATGCGAATGAAATATGGATTCCTCTGTCGTCTGGGCTGACCAGAGTTCCAACTCCCAGACTCCAAGTTAATCCAAAAAATGGTGTGAGCACAGCCAAACTCCTGGCAATAACCACGAGAACATGTCTCTCACCAGCTTGTGCAGCGTCTCTCGCGACCGTTCTGGTCAACATTTTGTGCATCACCACAAGCAGGATCACAAAGTTTATTGCCACTATTAGCAGTGCTGGGATCACAAATGCCAGCAGAGCCCTGGATGGGTCCCAGTTGAGCCAGCAGACCCCAGTTTCTCGAATGTATGTTCCTTGGGGTGCAGTCACAGCTATGGTTATGGTTGCAATGATGAGAGGTGTCCCATAGCCTAAACAGAATCCAATAGCCAACATGGATGTTTTAGACAAACCTCCATCAAATACACTGACTGCACGGTAGAGCAACAGCAAGGCTGATGCTAACATCCAGAAGAACAGGGCTAGGTAGAAAAAATGGATAAAAAAGGTAGCTGCAGAGCATGCTGGTGGGTTTTTCTTCTCTGCGTCAGAAATGGCTGCCCCAATGATAAACCAAATGTTTGCGATCAGTAGGGACACTGCGATGTTAACGATGGAAACATGACGCAAGTAAGATGTGTTGTTCCTTCGTATTTTTCTCCAAATGACCGCTTCAATGATGAGACATATGACCAAGGACGCCATGGATATTCCAACTCCAACGTAGGTTATAATTTCCAATGCTTCACTGTCTGGACTGTTGGGCGACATAAGGATGGAGAATGAGGTAAGGTGGTTGCAATTGCAGGTGACGGTTTCGGTGTCATCAGATACCAAAGTGCAGCCTTCATCGTCCCACCCTCCAAGACCATCGAAGAGGCTGAAGTTCCAGAAAACACATTGTGGATTTCCCAGACTATTGTTTGTAATATCAAACGTGAAAGAAATATTACTGATGCTGCTATTGGACTGAACAAGTACAACTCTGCCATTGATAACGTTAACAGATGAATTGGCTTCATCTCTTGCAGGAAGTACGTTATCCATTGATTCAAACGTTAACACAGTGATTGACTGATTTCCTCCATCAGGCTCTGTTATGTTTATCTCCACTGAAGAATTAAAGTCAGCATTGAAAGTGTTTTCGAATGTGGTTTTGTTCAACAGAATAGAAGGTGTCTCAATGTTGAACGAGTCACTGGTAAGTCGTGTTGTTATAGTCTCAAGAGACTGCAATAATAATGAGCTGACACTTTCAGCTGAGGTGCTGTTAGTTGCTGGGCTGTTTCTGGTGTCATTGGTGTTGAGAAAGTCCCATGATTCCCGTGCGTCATTGATGGTGAGAACACCCACAGTCAGCAGGACATCCTAAACGTCAAGAAAAGAAGATATTTGGTCTAAGAACATGTACGTTTTGGAATGTGTAAAGTCTAGCAGACTAATTCACATACCTCCATTGAAGTCCTACTTATTGTGATATTTATTGCTGAAGATGTGTTGGCTATATTGTTGAGTATGTCAACAATGGCATTAATGGTGGCAGGAGATTCAGCGACAGCTGTAGTGAAGTTGACAGTGACATTGCTGAGCAGTTCCACGAATGCTGGCAGTGAATTGGCATTTAAAAACTGTATTTGAAGAGAGAAAAAAAAGGTTTAGTCATATATAGTATTTTCAGGATCAAATTTAAGTACCATTTTTGGATAATCTGTATAGAACACTTTCTAGAACAAAACAAAAATCCTAGAAATACAATCCTGGTTCTCCCCAATTACATGTGCAGACAGACACTTTCCTAAAAGGTCAATGATTGTTAAATCCTGGCAAATCTTGCTGCACTCTTTGAAAGTCAAATAACAAGTGTTATGAGTACCAGTGCAAAGCCACCTAAATGGCTTGTAAATGATACTGCACAACTACAGAATGGTTCAATGTGTGATTGAAACCATTGAGTGTTGAATAAAGCGTTTACTTAAAGCTGCAGTCTGCATAAATCTGAAAAAGGAAAAAAAACAAACAAAAAACAACAACAACCAACAAACAAAAACAAAGCTAGATTTTCAAATATCACTGTGCAAAAAAACCCAGTGATTGGCTTCACTCATGGGCTTTATCTTTTTAGTCTGAAAACTGAGTAAAGTGCAGATGTCTAGCTTCCTGTCAGATGACACGATTTACTAGAATTAGTGTGAAAATTTTGCCCAACAATGCCACAAAAATACTGCCTACCTCAGCTTTAAGCAAACCAGTATGCCATGAAGGGCAAGAATGAAGATTCATTTTGCCCTTGTAGATACTATCTGATAGATACTGTCTGATAGAGCTGGAGAAATAGGTCACCTGAGACTGTTCAAGCAGGTCCTGAATGGGTTGAAGGACGCAGTTGTCTTGTTGATCTTCAAAGTTACCATTTTCCATACAAACTGCTGTCCTTTCTCCCACCTTGCCGGGTTCGCACTCTGCTACAGCCCTGAAATCGACCGTTCCAACACCAAATACGTCATCGTTGCATACAAAATCTATAGAGACAGAAGAAGGTTTTGACATCAGTACTGACAGTAACTACAGTGAAACATATCTTGAGTAATTGTAATAACTGCTCTGTAAAGTTTGGATAAGCACTCACTTCCTGCAGATAACTCCAGTATTATTTCTCTTTCAAATACTGGACTGGTTATTGTTTGACAGGTGAACGTCCTTCTCCCTTCCTGGTTTGTGCAGTCATCAGGAACTGGAAACTGAGCTGTGATCATATTACCTGTACCTGGACAGCAAAACTCAACTTAGAGAGTAGGACAATATAAACATTCACAACTAAAAACTAAAATATATTATCACAAATGGTTTTGATAGAAGTGCTTCAATGTGTCATTGATTTGCTCATGGCTAATTAGCCCCTTGGTGCTGGTTTGTTTCAGGTTTACCTGCAGAGGGAAAGTCCGGAAACTCCACCTCGTAGGGACTGTTGACAGAGCACTGCAGTGTCACATCTCTACCCCCACACTGCACATTTTGTCTGACTGGTGTCAGTTGGATCTGTGGTGTCTCTCTGAGATTAAAGTCTCCGTTGGATCTCTGTCGAAAAATTGAACCATCTGGCCGTTCCAGCCTACATTCATAGAGTCCTGTAAATAAAGGTGATCATCATTATCATATGAATATTGCCAAACAAGTCTAAAATTATATTAAACGACAATGTTCCAGTGCCCCCAAATTTTTGCAGTAAGATGTTGGATTACTGTAGGGCGACTCCCTTTAAACATATGAGGCATCAGTCGAAGATCTCTTATTTTAAAAACATGTTTTTTTTTTAACCCACATTACTATTTTGAGAATGTTCAAGCTTAAGCTGAAACCTGAGCTGAAGTGATGCCATATTTCTCTGCCTCTTTTTGGATATATTTCAACGTGCAGATTTTTTAGATTTATTTAGTAATTGTGTGTCAGGCTAAATGACAGATGCAGTGAGAGTGTTTATGTTGTTTATGCAGTTTTGAATTTTCACAGGTCAATGCACGAAGAAAACACTCCTTTGCACTACTTTTTTACTAACTGTGTGTGGTTTCAGGATGTCACTACTGACAACACCGCACTTGATGTATTTCTTACCATTGTCGGTGCTAAAAAATCGGGACACAGTTAATGTTGCAGCTCCATTCTGGATTGAAAAGCTGTGCTCTGTGTCTGCACTTATGAGCTCGCTGTTACGTCTCCACTCTGCAGTAAAGTTGGAACCAAAAGTGAGAGCTTCTGGTGGAGGGCCGCATGTCACATTCACATTCCGACCAAAAAACACTTCAGTTGGATTGAAGTTTAAGGGTGTCTCACCTTTAAAACACAGAGTTCAGCCAGTTATTATACATCTGCACACAAAAATCAGATATTTCTGACATGAGAAACATTACAAATGTGACATTTAAAACAAACTGCAACTTCTTAAGGCTCACTTACTGTCAAATATCACAGGGTGCTCCAGCTCTCTAAATATGCCGATTTTTAGTGCGCTAATTTCAGATGTGTTAATAGACAGAGCGTTGACAGTATAGGTAGCGATGGTGCTTCCACTCCTGCAAGACAGAATTGAATGTCAGTAAAAATCCAACCACAAACAAATATAATGTTGTTTATTTGGAACCTGCTCTGGAAATCTTATTACCCATCATTATCCATCACCAAAAAACATCCTAAACAGTGTAAGGTCAGTACTCAACTTTGAATTCCTACTTACTTGGAGAAAGTAATGAACAATTCTATGTTAAAGTGAGAATGTACACATTTGTTGCTGTGTTTAGTTTAACTGCTTGTAGTGTCAGAAGACTACCTGAGCCAAGCGCCCATCTACATGAGTCAAAACACACTAAACCTTTTGTAAAAATGCATTGACACTGTACTTAATATATACTTAATCCTGAAACAGCACTAAGATTCTAAAGCTATGCTCGTCGCTCTGTGAGGCCACATGACTGCAAAGTGGCGCCTAAAATGTCCCATATTGAGAGACTCACTTGCTTTTTTTTATTTTTTTCTGTCGTCATAAATTTGGAGGTGTAAAGTGAAAGATGCTAAAATATGAAGACGCAGAATTGTGCCATTCCTCAATGTCCGCCACAACTAGACAGCCTGCTAGCTTTACAAACCAGAGGGAATTTTATCCAGCTGGTAAGTTCCTCCTGTGTAACCAATAGTTGTTGAGTTCAAACTTTGTTTAATCCTGCCCACACCCACTGGAGGCATGGTTGGTACCACCCACTGCCTCCAGGACAACTTATTCAGAATGAGCAGCGGCCTCACAGTCCAGCAGGTTTATTTACTTGCTAGAGCTGCTTCTGCTCACTCTACAATGTCTCATTCACCAGCAAAGCACACCACACCAAATGTTCTGCTTGAAGAGTGAACACACTAGTCTTTATGCACTTCCAGCTTCTGAGAAACTTAAGACCCAGGGGACAACTTTTAACGTTGATGACAATGTTAACACAACAACAGGGAAATCCCTAGTGTGCACATTATATAACTAATATGGCTAATGGTAGCTTTGACATATATATATATATATATATATGCGCCCCCACAGGTCAGAGCTCTGTGGAAACTGTACAGTCGAGGAACATTCAAAGGCGGTGGCAACTTTAAGACCAATTTTAAGCTGAAAGATGCAACTATCATGGCATGACAATGAGAGCAAATGACTGTGCAGGGCATGCCGGCAATGTGGTCCTGAGGAGCAGTCCTAGTCTGAACCTTAGATACTGTTTTTTTATGTCCATATAATCTCCAAAACTGATTAAATAGCGACAGTCAGAAGAATAAAATTGGACTTACCGGAACCTAATTATCTCTACTGAGCGCAGAGTTTGGATGTGGACCCGAGACTGGGTTTGAAGCTATATGAGACAGTGACATTTGCAAACCAGGATTAAACATCAAATCTGTTTAGTACATGAACACTGTGATACAACTTGATTTCGAAGACAGAAGCTGCCTTAAGACTTACAGTGTTATCAACGCTTTGGTAAAAGGAATTGTTTGGATTGTTGTATTCAGACATGAAATTAACGTTTATGGTAAGTTCCAAGGTTTCAACGGAAACACTTGCTGGTGTTGTCGTCACTGGCATTGTTGACGTTGTTATTGATATTTCTAAAAAAAAATAAAATAAAATCACAACTGTTAGCACAGTTGTTTGAGGTACTTTTTATGGTATTTTTTGATCATACAAAACACAGCAAAATGAAGGCTTTTAGATTTTACAGTTACATTT